ACGTAAACGTAAAAACGTAAAAAAAGTAAAAAAAAGTAAAAAAAAAGTAAAAAAAAAGTAAAAAAAAAAGAAAAAAAAAAGAAAAAAANAAAAAAAAAGGAAAAAAAGCAAGCAAAGCAAAAAAAAGGCACCGGCGAAAAAACAACCCTTTCGAACCCGCTTAAAGCCATTACGCCGGCGAAAAAAAGCACGATTATTTTCCAAATACAATTATTTACCCTTAATAAAGCTACAAACACCCAAATAGCAAATACAAAAAGCACCGCTACCCCAACAAAAGCAACCAAGCACCAAATTAACAAAAATACGCATAAAAACGTTAACAAAAATAATTATTAATATCCAATTATATAAAAAAAATAACAATAAAAAACGAACCATACCATACCAAATATAAACCGTACCCAAAAGCATAACGCAAAGCCGGAAAGCGCGGAACGTTAGCCTTACGCAATAATTACCCGGCTGGCCAAGCTTTCGCTTATTAACGGCGATTGCCAAAATTACCCCAAAGCAATAGCGCTTTTTTAAAACCACATTTTTTATACGTTTTTTTTATAATTTTTTTATATATTAACCCTTACTTTTATTTTACCATTACATCTTTTTGGCCGGGGGCACGAAAACGTTTTTTTTGCCGAAGCATTTATTAGCAATCGAGCGAATTACAGTAAACGGAGCCGGCGGTTTAACACCGACCCGGTACCGGTTCGTAAGCGCAGGGTTTTCTTCCTTAGGCCAAATTTAAGGGTTTCCCTTACGCAACATTTAACAATAGCATTAAGGTTTTTCTTATAGACAGAACAGAGTATAAATATATATAAAAAAATGTTTAAATTAGGTTATGTTATGAATCCGTGCTGGGTATGGATTACGTAACCCAAAGGGGTGCCTTTTTAAGTTAAAACTTATGTATATAAAAACTACCCCGAATCCTTTAAGGACAAGGACTTAACTTCCCCTTTTTTACCTTTATTTCGTAAAATAACACCATTTCGGCACTTGCTAAGCATTACCTGGTAATTTAACTTATTACATTTTTGGGAAATATTTTTTGCGAAATGGCGGATTATATAAAACGGTAAATTATTTTTTATCCCCCGGGTTAAATCGGTTCGTTAATTTGGTTTTGCTTAGCTTTACTTTATTATTATTAAAAAAGCTCGCGCTATTGCTGGTTTTTTCGTTAAATATTACAAACCGCTTTCCAAAATTAAAAACCTTTCCGTTATCGGGTTAAGTAACCGTTGCAAATATTTAATGGGTTAATTTGGTTTTGTTAGTTATTTGCACGGTTTCGGTATGTTAACGGTAAAATGATTAATAAAAAAGCTTATAACGCTTTGGTTGCTAAGGTTTTTACGTTACGTTGCGTTAATAAAAACAGCTTTAACAAATTTGGGGTACTTACCGGTGCAAGGTTTAATGCTTCCCGTTACCGCATACTTCCCCTTTTCAGTGCGGGAATTCCTTTTTTGGGTAAGGGTGCCGCCGGCTCGGAGCTTGTACAATCCCTTTTTAACAATATGGTATTAATGCTTTAAGCATTTGCTTTTTACGCTTCCAAAGCCTTTAACGCTTTAATTCGTACCAATAACGTTTAAAGGTTGCTAACGATTTAAAAATTAAAAAGCTAGCTTTTAAGCAACCCAAAAAATTAGTAAATCCCGGTTTTTTATCGATAGCAATATTATTATCGTTTTTTGCATTTTTAATTTTTATTAATTAATTTCGTTTGCAATTAATGCTATAATTTAATAATAAAAATATTTTAAAATATTTTAATCGGATATATATATATATATTTATTTACCCCTTTCGAATTATATAACCCATAAGGAGCTTTACGGATCGGGTTAACTATATAAAGGTAAAAACCGTGCCTTAGCCAACAGCTGTTGTAAAGCTGGATAAAAACTCCTCCCTTCGAAGTTTTAGCCATTTGTTACAGTTAAGCTTCTGCTCTTAAAGTAAGGCACATAAGGGGTACTAAACAGTAGCACGTAACTTAACAACTAAAGGGATTTACAAGGTATTTTGGGTGCGGTTTAAATGCTTGCTCCAAAGGATATTTGGAAGCTAATTTAAATTGATTAATGCCGGAGCTTTAGTTAAAAACTACCTAAAATAGTAAGGAATTCCTTCCTTTTTATATTTCAATTTGGTATTGCATAAACGTTACTAAAGGGTTGTAATTTGTAATTTTGTTAATAAATTACAAACTAATGTTATAATTTGTAATTTTGTTAACAAATTATAAACTAGTTTATTTAAGCTTTTTTGTAATAAAGGGTAGCCATTTGCTTACCTTTTACCTTTTTAGCTTTCCTTTTTAACCGGGTAGTTATTGATTGTAACATTAAATCCCCCTTTTAACGGTTAAACCCTTTTAGCTTGCTTATGTTTAACCTGGATCTTTATTTTTAATCGTAAGTATTTTTTTTTTACTATTCCACCGTTCCTTTTTTTTAACAATGTTTGGTTAAATGCAAAAACGCTTTGCGCGTTTAACTTTCCGGCGCAAAAACTTTTTTGCTTTGGTTTTTGCATCGGCCATTAACATGCATTTTTGCTTTTTTTATTGGAACGTTTTTTTTTAAAAAAAAAAAAAATTTCCCCAAAACTTTTTTCGTTGCGTAAAGTGTTTGGTTTGCAACCGTTTTGGTTGCAATTATTTAGGCCCTTTGCTTAAGCAATTTCGAATTATTGGATTTTAATATTGGAAAATTAAAGCCAAAATGCAAACCGTTAAAGTTAAGCGTTGTAATGTAAATAACCGTTTCGAGCGTTTTTGCAAACAAAAGGACTTTTGGTTTAAAAAGCAATTTCGAGCGTTATTTTGGGGTATTAAAACCGTAAAGGAACTGGAGCGGGTAAAACGGGAAAAGGCTGCACCGGTTACTATTTTGGTAGCGGCCAGCCCTTTCTCTTTGCCCCAACCCGATTTTTTCCTTTATTTTTTAATTGGGCAACGTTAAAGGTTAATCCGGACTTTAATTTATTTGCCCTTTTTTAATCGGGTAAGTTGTAACTTTTTTAACAATTTTTTTTGGTTGTATAGCGCAATGGTAACGCGCTTGTTTTTGTAACGGGAAGTTTTGGGTTCGATTCCCGGTGCAACCTTTGTATAAATAAAATTTAAAAGGTAACCCGGGATTTTATTTATACTTTTTTTTTGCTTAAGCTTGCTAGCTTATTTTTTGAATATGCTATTAAGTTTTCCTTTTTTGCTTTTTAAATTTGGAAAAATTTAAAGCGTTTTACAAGTTTTTGGTTATTGTTAACTTTTTTCCAAGCGATATTTTTGCAAAGCTTTTTAGCAATTTCCAAAATTTGTTGCGTATTTTTATATATTGTATTTTTTTTAGCTTTTTTATTTAACAAAGTATTGCTATTTGCGGTAATGCGTTTTTTTGTTTAAAATGGCTTCGATTTTTTATTTTTAGTTAAGGTTGATTTTTATTAATTCGGTGCTTTTAAAGCCCGGAAGCGCTGGTTTTAACAAAAAAACGTAAAAAATTAAATGGATTTGCATGATTGGAAATAGCTGGAATTTATAATTAACCGGAAAAATAATTCGTTTAACCCAAA